TATATATATATCTAAATGTAGTTGCGATCATTTTGTTCAAGGCATACAAACAAGTCTGTTTTATTCAATTAGCATGGCAAGAAAGTATTTGGATGGTTTTGTGTAAAAAAAAAATAGAGGCTAACATACACAAATGGATATTTTTCTATTTCGTACTTATATTATTATAATAATTCCATGATAACTTCACATTACCTTATTGTTTTGTGTAGAATCCAAAGCAACGGTGTCACTTTCTTCGTCTTCTTCCGCCTCTTCATCTATGAGATTTTCTACAATGTACTTCATCACTTCTAGATTTCCCCGCATTGCTGCGCAATGAATGATATTTAAACCAAGCTTTGAGGTATAAATTAAATAATAAAAATATTAATATTGGCATTAACGCATAATGGAGAGAATTATTATTGTTTTCCAATTAACTATTTAAACAAAATAAAACCGGTTTGGATTACAAGATTAACAAACACCAATGATCTACTCACAGCATAAAATTCATATTAATATGCTACAGAAAATGTTTATTACAACATAAAATACACTAGCCAAATGTATATACAGCTTTAATCGTCGAAATTAAAGTACAGTATTATATATCTTGATCAGTTACCTGTTGAAGGTTCTAATTTCCTTATTTCATTCCCAGTCTCCTTGATAACGACCTATATATCATACCGGTATTGTAATTGTAAAGTAACAAAAATTGTGATAGACAAACGACGGATCGCCACATTTCTTTCCTCCATGGTTAATCTAACATTAAACAAAAAAACTTTGGACAAACCATGGAGGAAAGAAACATTGACAAACCTTCTGTGATAAAGATTAAAACTCTAAAACAATCAATTTTATGGGTTCTTTACCTTGTTCTCGCATTTAACTGTAACGTTTGCTTTTGATAGCGCATCTAGAACCTTGTGGTGGCCAAACCAAGCCGCCCATAGTAACGCGTTCATTCCAAACTAAAACGAATGAATAATATTTATTGTACAAGATTATCATAAGTATTATTACTATTGATAACATTTTTGGAATGAGAATTAATGCTGGACAGCCAAATTGTTGGGTGTTGGGGTCATGTCATGGTTTCAAGCTTGGCCTAGTCCGCTAAAATTGATGGTCCATGGTCCACTTTGTGTGAGATGAACCGTGATGAAGGGATTAAATGCAAGGTAACAATTAGAGCACCGTCTTTCGGATGAGAGCTAGGCCCGTTGTTCCATTTGCACTTTAAATAACAAGCAGGGATTAGTTTATTTATTTAGAAAACGTTTTCGCAACAGCGGCACTCATTACAATAATGGTGCATCCAAAACTAAAGTAATAAAAAGAAAATAAATACATATAGTACCGTAATTAAAATTGCCAAACAATACAATGTAGAAAAAGTCACAAAACAAAACATAAAAGCATTGAAATTAAAATTAAAATTACATTCGACAGGACTTAATCTCTAATCTCTTAGCCCATGCCTTTTTAAGATATGATTTGCAATAATCATCAAAAAGCTTATGGACCATGTTAATTGAATTATTTGGAAGATTAGGTACAAACTCAGTGCAATCTCCACCTAACATAAGAATGAAAAAAACATCATTATTAAGGAGGTAATTACGGTATCTCCTAAAGAAAGAACCCAACTGAAATTTATGTCTTCGGACTTTCTTATTGTGTTTCACACAAACTGTATTATATAAAACGACGGCCAATCGCATACTGTCATTTTGCCAATGGCCATGTGCAATACACGTACTTCATCTACTCTCCACCCAAAACTTTAATGGACGAAAGTTCTCTTGAATTATATTTCCAGTACAGTTTACTTAACTGATGATTTTTTATTGTTCCCCTCCCCCACCCTCATTTTGGTGAAGTTGGGGGGGGGGGAAATGTCATCATGAAGTATCCTACGAACCTTGTCAGGCCAATCAACCTTTGCATCATTGTCCAGCAAACAGAGAACTACTTCGTCGTGACCCTGTCCCGCCGCTAGATGTAGTGCAGTTCTGTCTTTCTGTTAAAAGATGATGATTAAATGATTGCTACTAGTAGTAGTATGTTATAATGTCAATGGAATTTAAACCCACCACCATAACAATACTATGGAATTAACTGTCACGTGAATTAGATAACCTATTATTGGTAATGATATTATGATACAAATTAATATTATATTTATACCATAAAAGTCAGAGTATTGTTGCAAAATATCATTTTAACAATTTTGAATTTTGAAAATCACAAAAATAATCTGGTTCCCTATGTGTTATGGCATTGGGGTTAAAATGATATTCCCATAAAAGCCCACCATTCTCTTTTTAATTATGATTACTAGGTATAGGTATATTGCGGTTTATCATACTAGGAATGTACAGAATGCCTTACCTCGTCCATAGCATTAACATTGACGCCTTTCTTGATGAGGGCTTCCACCTTCTCCATATCCCCATGCCTGGCTGCTTCGTGTAGTTCCCGTTCGCTATACAAAACTGGTGAAACAATGTGACCATACATTGCCTGATTATGCCTTCTACTGTAACGATGGGTTTCACATTTAAAAACAATCTCCTTCACTACCTTAATAAAGTTATGATGCTAATTTATTAGAAGAGAATATGGGATAGAGACCAGCCATCAGATGGCACGGACACTAAAAAATTCAAAGACAATTCGAATAATATTTTTGTGAAATCTCCTACACAAACACTTACGGTACTAATTTACATAGCGTATTGCTATATTAACTGTATGTCACGTTAGGCTAGATTTAGAAATGTGAGGGTATGCGATGGTTGAATGTACCACCACCGACTTAAAATATTGTTCGTGCAAAATACTGTGTTTCCGTACGTTACCGTACCGTACTAGTCACATGTTTTAGTCGCATTATATTAACTCAGGAGGCCTATATAAACTCCCATGATAGCGGAAGTCATTACGGTGATTATTATCTTTGACGATATTCTTGAACATGCAATCATTGAAGCCAATTATTATAAATAATATGCCTACCATACTGTAGATAATATTCTATGATCTCGGTTCCCGAGGTAACAAAGATAAATATTTTCATCTGTTTATTTACCATTAATTAATGAAACCATTCATCATCATGATTACAGGAGTAGCCCGTAAGCTCCAATTTTAGCACCTGACTCCTACGGTTACATTTTACATTTTCATTGAGGTCCAGTCAAAATTTAGATTGGGTAAACATAATGACTTTTCCAGTGCGAAGCAATGATTTCAAAAGTTTTACAATAGTTTTACAATATACTAATTTAAATGAAATAATTTTAAAATTTAATAAGCCGTTCAGTATGATATTGAATATTATCAACCTCATTATTCTTACAGCCACAGACATATTTTAGTTGTATTATCCACGTAACATTTATATATAATTAAAAACGCTGAATGGGACCGAACACTAAACAAATTGATCATAAAAATGCAATATACAAGGTTTAACAGAAGATGGCATAGGAGAAGACATGGTTTAATCATTGCAACTGATTACCAAACAATTCTCAAGTCAAGGAAGGAAATTAGTTATTCCAATTTCCACTGTATATTACATTTACGACAATGAGGTAAACATAAGGTTAGCTACAGTCAATGTTAGATATTGATCAACTGATTAAATTGCTTTGTCGAAATTACGGTCGATGGCAATTCTGACCATCAATACAGAAAGTGTTGAAAGGTAATGATATTCATAAATAATCGATGACCGGCCATATGAATTCCATTTTAATATTGAGCATAAACACACAATAATATTGTTTTACAGGCTTTTAAAATGAAGAACAATATAGATAGGCCTATAATTAAGAAATGACAATGAACCGAAATCATCATTGTCTCATTATAATAATATACCGATATTGATATCGGATACTATTACCCAGGAGTCCATAATATACTTTCCTGAGTAAATAATATATGTTCAAGTCGCATAGTAAACACTGGCAGGGAGCCCGGTCCAGTAAAATTATACCTTTTGAATCTACAGTGCATGATGACATGTTACTTTATTGTTAATAATAAATTTAATGCCTTTGTTCAATGCATTTCACTAAATAGTATAGAATATTTACCTGCCATTGTATTATTGAGATCAGAATAATTAATAATAATACATTTATTAGATTTGAATGAGCACACAAAAACAGCAAATACTCGGTCTTTGGTAAAAATGCTACAACGCATATTATCATAACGGAACAGAATTTTTGGAGATACAGGGGTGATATATTTTAGGATCTGTGAGTACCGTAATTGAGTCTATTATGTGAATTTCAATGACCATAACACGTTATAGACCTAGTAATGGAAGTATCTGAAATTCTAATTTGGTAGTACAATGCAGCTCATATCCGGCATTTCCCGACGTCGGGACGTATCATCTCTTTCCTACCATCCAGATCCTGCTGTAAACCTGAACTCAAAATTCTTCTTCAAAATCAATAAACACTAGGCCTACAGTATATATGGCCCTTAGTTATAGTTACACCCCCATATGCAATTTGGGGGTGTATAGGTCTTGGTCTGTCTCTTATACACATCTAGATGTGTATAAGAGACAGATAGTATATAGTGTCAAAACAGACTAGGCCTAAACACTGTACGGCCCTTTGCAAAAACTGGTTACTGATAGGCCTAAACGGACTGTACGAGGCGTTTGACGTAGGATAATTTGACCCGGTGGGTCGCCGTACTGTCAAAAATTGGTTCTGTATGTTCATGGTACAGGTGTATACTTACGTATTTCTCCCTCGTCCACAGTTATTTCTGCCATCCCTGTAATTATTCCGAAAGTAGGAGGCCCAAGGGGTAAGAAACCTTCTCCCCCAAGGCAGTGTTTGTTTTCTTTTCCAGCTGAATCTATGAACAAAAAATGGCAAGTAGTAGAGTTGTTCGTGCCTGGTTTCCCATCAATATTTACCTATTGAATTAGTAAAGCCGACTTTTGTTATAATTTCTTCTCTCATTACCATAACAAAGGCGTTTCGGTTCAGAAAACATATATCGTATATGACGTCATACGCAATGTTCCTCCTTGTATATTTATGAAGGCAAAGCACGGTTCGTCCCTTGGTTCAATGAGCTCATGGTTGACGGGTGTTTTCCGTAGTACAACGTCACGTCAAGTTTAAATTCTTTAGAGTAGGCATATCCAAGCAGATAATAGTTGTGAAAAGGAACATGGATGATTTAACAACTCCAGACTGATTTGAAAGTTCAGAAACATTAATGGGACTGCCCTTTTTCTTTGCTTCAAATCCCAGCAGACACCTTCTCGGCCTCACCCGATAACGAATGAGAACGAATAAGTATCCCCCACGAAGAATAAGGGTGATTAGTCTTTTTATCCACTTCAATTTGGATCATTTTGTTAACATCTTCCCGTTCACCAAATTGTGTATACGTATCGGTAACGTTTGCTATGCTCGAGTCAATAACCTCCTTTAACGGTTCTATATTAATTAGATTAAGCCTAAGTGGTTCTATAGATGAAACTGCCATTAACCAAAATTGACTCTTACAATAATTTGATTTTGATGCAGACATACAGAAAGATTATCGGTTTCGTATTTTGCCATATATAATTTGCTGTCTTAATAATATGTAATGCCTTGCACCAACATGCATGAATCTGATGTAGCTCTCCATACAATTTTACTGTACCAACGCCGAAATTGAATTGAAATGAAAAAAGAGCCAATCACTACGAAATTGATACAGACAGCATCAGCACTACAGGCAAAACCAAGATCATATCAATTTAGTTTTATTGACATTTCTTACAATATTATTAACAATACTTACTTGTTTCTGTGATAATCAGAATTAATTGAAAACATTAAGCAAATTATGAATCGAAATACCGTATATCTTTTCAAGGCGCTCTCCTTTTTGTTCTTTTTTATATTTCGGGACTGAGAAAGTCGATATATTACCCCTGTAATAACGAAGGTAATGGAACGAGGTATCTCAATATTAAATCAATATGAGTTAGCTTTAAGATTACAAGAACAACATTTATAAGTGGCAACATTCGCCAAAGACATCGTAATGATAACGACAAATACAACTACAATAGCGTAACAAACAAATCATTCGTAGCAAGAATATAATAATAAGTACAAGTACCATGTTAGTGTTTTATAAACACAGCGTTAGTAAAGACGGAGGTAAACCTTTGCACACCAAAATAGTACTGTACAGTAGTAGACTGCTTTTGGCGAATAAACAAGTTGTGGTTTACGGATTTTTTTTAACTACTGTATCAAGTAACTGTAATCATTATGACATTTAAAGTAATGAACAGTAATGTTTACGAGCCCCACGATGAATAAGATTGAACTCGAGAATAACATTCGGAAACATATTATTCTGGAATTTAACAACGCGAGTCACTCGGCAACCAATTTTTCAAAGGTAAATTGAATTTTAGTGCGCCATTACAATTGTAGGCCTATAATAGTGCTTCAGCAAAAAAATGAAAAGGTACTACAGGTATATTGGCTACTGAAATCTACTGCAATTGTTTAACTATCCCGTTATTGTTTTGATATTTTAAGTAACGAACAGTAATTTTACGAGCCCACGGTGTATATACGATTAAAACTCGAGAATAGCATTCGGATACAATTAGTATAATATGATTCCATAATATTAATAACGCCTATCACACACAGGGTTGCACGACAGTCGTCCGACCGGCGCACGACAGTCGTCCGACCGGCACCCGACGAATCTATCGCCGTTGTATGTGCGGAGCACTTGACGACGCTGGCCACTTGTTGATTGTCGCGGCAGTCTCAGTGGATCGTTATGAAAACTATCCGTTGCACGCGTTTTGTCTGTTATGGTATGTGTCCATTGTTGGGATGCTGCGTCGGCCATCCGGGGCGACGTGAATGTACGTGTATCTCCGTGTCGACGTCTTCTAGTTTTTCGAGAATCTATAGACAGTAAAGAAAATGATTCGTCGCGCGGACACCGTCGCGTTGCAGTCACTATGGAATTGCACAGACGGCCGTCGGTAAAGGTAGTGCTTTATACCTTATGTATTATATTGGATATTTCATACCTCATAGCGAAAAGGATTACCCGCTATCGCTGACAGTGACAATTGTTCGCTGTACTTTGCTATCATTATCAAAATCATATTATTGATGATGACGACTCTGTTAGCTTACGGCAGCAGCTGTGGAGTGTTAATACTTACGAGATGATATGATTTAAGGAGATGATGAAACATATTCGGTTAATGCATGTAAGAATGGGTATATCAATATCACCATCTCCAGCATCACTATATCAAATTAAACATCTTTTAATTAATCAATTAAACCACGTATTGTTTTACGTCCTTATTTATTTCTGCAATGCTATCATACCTATATCAGTACTTCGATAGCAAAGGTTTCAGGAATCAACGGCCAGATCGCTAATTCTATCATTCAAATTCCCTAGTGTATCTGAACATTAATGTGTTGTGCTAAACATTGATGAGAAAAATTATAGCCAATATCAGTTACACAATTTTGATTAGCACAACTTATTCAAAAATCTTCATCTTTAGATAAAAATTCTCTCATTGGAATGACTGTTACAGATGAAGGTCGCCGCGTTATGAAATTTACACAGATCTTTAATTAACTGGATTCAAGTGCCGAACAGGTGGGGTGAATTTACCAAAATCCTAATGAGTTTTGATAGCCAAAATCACCACGAATACGTCAAGTTTGGCAACATTTTCTAAAAACATGGCATTTTGTGATGTATACCTTAGGGCAAAACTCGTTCGCCAAACAGGTGCGTAAAGATTAGCACTTTTAATCTATCAACTTCAAACTGAACGTTGACACTAGAGCACTTTTATGGAAAGTATTGACACACTCATTGGCCTCATTGTAACTTTATTTCACTTATATTTCTTACAACCAACCAAAGTATCTCAATAATAACCCTACAGTATTATGTTTTGCAAAACCAAACCACGACATTTTTACAAGATCGATTTGAATCACACGTACGCTCTAGGCAGCCCTTTTTAAAAATGATTCGGTCGTCCAGCTGCATGCGCATGCGTTTATCCCCCAATCCAATAATGACTACCGGTATTAAAAAACAGTGAGACAATATGAATCCATTCTTAACTAATGATTTTGACGAACAACAATTTGTTGACAAGAAAAAATACCCCCAAAAAGGCCTAGCATATGAAGAAAAACATAAAAACACATCACATGTATGTTTTACTTCGATTACATTGTAATCAAATATATTATGAACGAATTGTGAATGATGGTTAACTGATTGACTCATTACCTTCAATAGTACCGGTAATTAAAACCCTAGAACAATTTCAGTTCTTCTTTGTTGATAAGGCCTAATTAGCTGAAGGTATGTATTAATTTCTTACTTCGTGTCCAACTATACCGTATTTAAACAATTACAAAATACCTGTATATTGAACCGCTAAAACGATAGAACTAAGAGGAATGTTTCAAATTTTTGAGTTACTTTGATTGATGAATAATTATAACGTATGTCTACTCTATTTGATAACATCGCATTGGTAAACAATTTATAATTACGGTATATATTTATATAAACTTTACGTCTATTATTTACATAGTCACAAGCGTCGAGTTCTGGAGCATACTTAGGCCTACTCAAACTAAATAATATGATATATAAAATATTATATAGGTCTACAAGAAATAAGCTTACCGAGGTGTATATGCCTATTGTATATAATGATTTACATGGTTTAAACAATATCGAGAGCACTGTTAACTTATAATCAGTTGTTTTCAGAAATTTGTGAACAGCTACAGTACATACTAGGCCCTTATTTCTTTAATTTGCGTCACTTTTGGGTCACTTTCTGTTTCACCAATCCCATCCCTCTTGCAAACACGTTTAATCTGGTTCCTTGGCTTCGTGAAATGATTTCATTTTTATGGATCCTGAAGTCAATTGTGGCCTTGATAAGAAACTATTGCTAAAACTGAAGCGGTATGTACGTTCCTGCTTTACCGATGCCCTCCTATATGAACTCTGGCGCCAGGATCGGAATATGCTTGTACTGTTTTCTATGTTTGTAACAGATGATTCCCGTCTACCTTTAAATCGACGTTTACCCGATATCGCCGACCAGCACAAGGATCTATAGTTACGTCCACTGAACGCGTACACAAACGGGTTCATTGCAGCGTTCGCATACGCTAGACACAGACAGAACACTTTGAAACGATACCATGATATAGCATCGTTTTCGGTGTTTGGATTCTGTAGCAGTACTATTAGATTTATCGCATGTATTGGACCCCAACAAACACCAAATAAAATCACAACTATTAATGTCATGCGAGTAACTCGCAAGCGCCGCCTACGTTCAGCCTTCGTGCTCATAATATTGACGTGGTGGCGTTTTGACCATATGCGGCGTAAGATCTGCACATAACAATAAGTGATGACACTAAGTGGGAGGATGAAAAGGAGAAAGACAGATATGATCTCCTGTGCTCGAGAAATGTCTTGCGAAAACGGTGAAATACGCATACACATTTGTGTTCCCTCATACAAGTCCATAACTTGGAAGAAAAATATGACTGGGATATGTATAAGAAAGGACGCTGCAAAATACAAGTATATTACACGTGTTATATAAGGAAAAAAAGCAGAACACGATTGAAATAACTGATGTTGTAATTTGATGTTTTTCTCCATTTCTGTGATCGTTTGCATGTTATTGTTCTATTTTATACATTTAACTATTGTGAATACCATCGCAATTCAGCTTCAAAGATGTAATTTTATGTCAATTTTATTGAATAAACCGTTCAACTATCTATCTATATTATACAGGTATTACCATATTAAATAATCACATGTCTATAAGAACAGATCGATTAAGAAAACATGTATATGAATATTTATTACGTTTAACCAGGTTTCCATTAAATCGCAAAACGCTATATACTGCCAACAGAATTTCGCCGGCGCAAACCTTTCGGTAATGCGGGAGCATTCCTGATTGTGTCAGGGACAGCTGCGCAGTGCAGGTTTACAGTCAACACGCAGTAGCTACACAGTAACGATTTTATGGAAACCAGGCTTTAGGCTATTATCAAAGAGTGCTATTATCTCACATAATACTTACTAAGCCAAACTGTAAAATTTATTATAACTGTTTTTCTCCTCGTTCTTTTCTCTAAAGACTCCATTGGATGAAGAATTACTTGCCACCTGTCAATACTCATAACAGTCAATATTCCACACGACACCTGTACCGACACCTGGATTTTAGAACACACAGATTAACTATAATTGAATACATTTTGCAATTTATTTTGTAAAATAATCAATGTAACGTAATCACTTTAACATAGTCACTGTAAAATAATGGTTTGAAAACTATAATTGATATTTTAGGGTACCGGTACGTTTAGACGGAATGATGATTCCATTATCCTTGTTGTATTACCTGATCAAGTGTACTGCAGTCTAATAGAAACACGAGCATTGAATAATATGTAATTGTCCTACTCGCTTCTTATTATTGATATATTTAATCATATATGCTCAGCAGCTCAGGACGTTGAACTATATACGGTAACAGATCCCGGTGGGTGGTCGAATCCCGGGTCGGGGCACCTTTTTACACTCACGGTATTAAAAAAACAAGATCAGGCTCATGACAGACAATAGTCTTTATCGACCTGGTTAAATACACTATAATAATACTGTTTTGACCGTCTTCAGACACAGGAAAAAGATATTTAACTCTAAAAACAGTCACTCAACGCAAACCACACAAAAGATAAACACACTCAATTCATAGTCATTTTGTTAACCATCTGCTACACACTTTCAACGAACATAAAAAAAAAATCGACATGTCTAGTCGCCACAAAAAGATCTGCGGCCAAGAATAATACTATCCTTCTGTATATTCTGAAAAGAATCAACACTCGAAATGACAACCGCTCATCGGGGGAACATTACGACGTCATTGCGCGCGTGCATATACCTTTCCATCTATGATACACTATTGTTCCTTCTTTTTACTTTAAGCAGTGAAATTTATAATGTTGATCATGATTTTAAAGTGGTAATCCCATGTATTCAGATATTCCTGATTACAGATTGAGATACATTTCCGTACATTTTTTAAAAGGAGCACGTAAGATGTAATTAAACTACGTGCTTACTTATTTGATCATGTGACTGAACGCTCATTAACGCCTGAATGAACTTGTGCTCAGTACGGTATTAAGCGACGTACGTTACTTATATAACCATAGAGAAAATAGAACAGTTCTATTCTGTTCTATTTTCTCTATGATATACCGTAACATGTATACCGCAAAGCATGTATGGAACTGTTAGTTAAGTTATCACAAACTACCCCGAGGAAATAATCTGGAATAAAATAAAATATAATGGATTCATTAGTGATGTGGTGTTTTATTCCACTTGTCGATGCACAAGTCAATTAACGTGGTGTACACTGTATCAACTTACACCTCTATAAAAATGAATAATTATGCTCGCAGAATTACTGTTGAATAAAATACATATTTCGTAGTAATTGTTATACTTAGTATTCCGTTCTAATGTATTTAGTTGTCAGCGTTTGTAACTAGATTCCATAGGTAGGTGTCAGCCAACACTAGTCTGGTGGTAGTAACAAAGCCCCATTCCCGGCAAAATTTCACTAAAAACTGACTTTTTTTTAGAAAATATGCATTTGCATTACTCCAATTATTATAAATCATGGAAAAATATTGGCATGAATTTTAGTTTTACGCAAAACAATAAAACAAAACGAGAAATACAGACTATTTCTCATAAAATATTACCATTTTCTCGACGAATTCATCGTTAATGGGCGAATACAGAGGTTGTAAATCGCATCCACTGGAATACACTCGCTTTTATGTATACTTTATACAGTCAATAAAGTGCGCCCTCTCTAATGAGATTAGTTTTTGTACTTCGCATCTCGCACAATGCGGTCGTTTGATAAGGCTGAGATATGTTTGTTTAAGTGTCAAAATCTCAGAATCAGTTTTTTAACAAATTTGAAATAATTCCTATGAAATATTATATTTCACAAGTGTCAATACTAGCAACGGAAAATATCATGTCGGCCGTTTTTATGTGTGAAACAGAACCTAAATCGAGGTAAGGCTAGGCCTAGCCTAGCAGCGTTGGATAGGCTAATGTTTTCGGCGCCTACGATATTTCTTCTCACGACCATCGCAAAATCAAACATGAAAAATTCATCCGCATTTATTTTTTGTGTGGAACACAAAAAAAAATCAATTTTTTTTTAAAATTTCAAGTCTTATTTTACATTTTTTTCATTCTTAGGAATGTCTAAATTCAGTTAAACTAGCAATTCCGTATTATATTTATAAATCGTTATAACATTATACAAAATTAGATTTTTCTTAAAAACTGAAAATTTTGCCGGGAATGGGGCTTTAAGTCCAACTCAAACAGAGTTGGCCGACGCAGCCCGACCCGATTTATCGTCGGGCGGGACAGACTTAAGCCGTCGTGAGAAATATACGCGCGACTGCTCACGACGCACCCCATCGCGTCTGCGTTTAACTCACACAGACCCGACGCGACAACAAATCGCGTCGGGCTGTGTCGTACGACACTGTCTGAGTTGGCCTTTATCCGCTCGTTATTTGTCAGTTTGCTATGTTTTAGAAGAAATAACTGCATCTTCGAATGAGTGAATAAAGTAATATCACTCATTAGATACTCTATGATCAATTTTAAAAAAAATGACAAAAACTAATTTGACATTTGTGCTTATCTAGGGCTTAACAATATTTTGTATAACGACACTGCACTTAATAAGATTAGAAAAGGAAATTTGAACACTCAATTAGTTATTGGGGAGAGAGTTAGGCCTACTATCCTCTCTCCACTCTAATTTTTGACAAGTCTATCATTATATTAAATTTTGTCCATTTTAGATATAATATGTGAAAATATTGGTTATGGTATTATATGTGTCTCAGACATACCATTCAATTGGCAGTAGGCCTATTTGGCCAAGGCTCATTGATGAATCCCAAAAATCATAGCACATTAAAATAAATAAATGGTAACGGTAATGGCGGTAATGGCTGAAAAACAACAGCCCAAGTGCACGAAAAGGAGGAAAACAAAATCAAAAGTAAAGGAATCTAGTTCAGATAGGATTTGAGCCGAGACTTAAGAACAATCAAAGATGGAGAGTCACGCACATTCTCAGGTTGTTGGTCCCAAATAAAGGAACTTTCGCAACAAGTACAGTATTATGGTGACGAATAGGAGAGTTAAGAATGGCAGATGAAGATGAGCAAGTGCAAAACATCAGAACGTAGTGGGTGTTGGGTGAATTATGGAGTGACTTGTATACAAATAAAAAGATCTTGAAGTTAATTCAGATGATATGCAATTATAGACATGGGAAAACGTTCACTATTAGAGTAGCATGTATTCCTGTATGTAGAAATGTAACAATATAAGTTTAATCAAAACAAATGTTGAGTTAAACAAGCTTACGATGTTTCTAGCAACTTTTTTTTTTTATAGTTTTATAGTCATACCGCCCTCTATTATTACTGTACTTTACGATTTTTAGTTATAAACAACAGTTCTGAATGATTTGTTTTTATAAAAAAAAAATATGAGGTTTTCTTGAGCTGACATTGAAATGGAAAATGATTTACAACAATTTTTTATCCTGGGGACATGGCTCCTGCAGTAATTTGATTAAAAACTCTAGTTTGACTGACATAACGTACGATCTATATAATTAGGGGTTAAGGTGAGGTATTGTGATGAAGAAGGGTGAGGCTTTTAATGTCAGAAAACTAAACGATAATTGGATGCACTAGTCATAATGCTTAGACGAGTGATTTCTATTACTGATAATGGTAGTCTGGCTAGAAGGGGAGACGGTAACTCAGACACTCTTTAATCATATTTATCAACCTTTTACACCTCTGGTATTGTATATAATGTAAGTTTTATCTCATACTTATATTTTATAGTCAGCACTGACGTAGTTTAGCTCTGCAAACAGGAAAAATATAATTGCTAGCAATAACAAGATATAAAGAAAAGATGCGCTATACATCTATGCATTATTGATTAAACAGTTACTGACGTCGACAATTTCCTAATTTTCTACTGTATGTAATAGTTTGTTGCACTGAATACATACAAACACCACCCACACACGCCCAACCCCATGCACACATATACGCACATACACACATATGCACACACACACACACCATATATACTGTCTCTTATACACATCTAGATGTGTATAAGAGACAGTATATATATATATATATATATATATATATATATAGGCCTATGTATTCTACAAAAACAAGCACTGAATCTAAAGCAGAAGACCCACAAGGTAGTACTGTATGTTCCTTTGAGTTTGGCATGTTGAGAACTTGTTTCCTGTTTCAATCCTCACACATTCAGCATTCGTGGATAAACATTCATCTCGGGTTAAAAAAAATGGGTACATTAGGTTATGCTCCAGATCACATTAGTATACGGTTACAGGTAATATATGTTCCATTTAGCACGGATGAAACTTTATATCAACCATTAATAGTGTTATGTTTTATTCGGGTTTTTATGTTAGGTTTAACGATAACTGATACTCGATTTTAGAATACAGATACAGAAATAATAATAAAAAAAAACAACCAAGAACCAAATCACCTATACTTCGTACAATAATTGTTTAAATCTTAATACCTCCTTGTTTAAATGTTTCTATCTAGGCCTATTTATTAATTTTAATTAATCACTGTCTTTAAATTTTTCTAAACCTACGATTTATTGTATTTTTATTATATTTTACTACAACATTTTAGGAGAAAGTAAAATACAATATAAAATACCCTCTAATGGTAACCAAAAGTGAAGCAGTATCCAAGGCATCGTAAAATAAAAAAATTGCAACATAACATTGAAGTTAAATAATTTTTCGTTGAATAAGTTTTAGAAGTCGTATAAAAATAGAAGTCGTATAAAAATATATAATAAAATAAAATATATACAAATATATAAATAATAATTGTTAGTTATACATTATTATCAGGCCTATCTATTTCCTCTATTAATTGATGCATAGAACTAAAATGGCTTTTACACCTCATTTAGCGGTCCGATTACACTTACAGTAAAAAGATAATGTTGAATGGGCATCTACAACATGATGGATTCTGGTTGGTAAAGCCGACCTCCTAACACTGCTTAAGGAGTAAATAATAATAGGGTCGAAAAAATAGAAAAGGTCCACCACCGCAGTTTAAGACGCGCAGCGTCAGTCATGATCAGTTCACTATTCAATTTAATAAAGTGCCATTCAGCGTGCCCTTGACATCTTCTAAGAGACTTCAATAATGTTTTTACACTCCAGCATCAGCACATACACCCAACTGTATCAAAACACAAATGTTCGTGTTTTTTTTTGTTTTTTTTTTTTTGTTTTTTTTTTGTTTTTTTTTTATTGCTGTAAGTTAGTTTAATATAGGATGACCTTTCAGTTATAGTGGCATAGTTAAAACCATCTTCGTATCGTAGGGGTATTCTGATTACGGTGTGTAATTAAAATAAAATGGGCCTGTCCACCGCATGCCTGTAACGAATGTTTGCAAATTGGTGTGCATGTTTGTGAAAGTAAAGAGATTTGTTATTGCTTTTGCACAAATATTCAGTAATCTCAATAGCATTACTAACAATCTGGGATTATATATTGACGTTAAAAGTCCTTCGATATTTAGAATATAAAAAAGAAGCTTTAATACTGATAACAGTTTCGAAGAAAGTGTCACTCAATATCTATCAGAAGACAAGATGTACCGGTAATTCATCCAAATAACCTGGGATATATTTACTACACTGTAGACTGTAGAATTATTACATACAGCATATAAAATAAAACTAATGTTGAATATATAAATTCAATAACGTCTCTCTCAACCACAATCATATTTCGCGGTAATTCAAGTCGAAGCTGTCAACGATGTGGACAGTTAGAAAGTAAATAATTTATATACCACCATTCTAAAAATATAGGCCTAGGTCTACTGTCAGTGAACGTTTGTGTGTACGTATCTGTGACTTTGACCGAGTGAATGTCAGAACGCGTGGACTGAGACTACGTAAATCAACCAAAGAAACGCGTGTATCATCATCATCATCAAAGCAGACACTTCAAATATT